AAGAGACTGCTGGATCCCCTGGAACTGGAGTTATGGACAGTTGTTAGCTGCCATGTGGGTGCTGGGATCCGAACCCAGGTCTTCTGCAAGAACAGTCAGTGTTCTTACCTGCTGAGCCATCTCTCCAGCCCTAATAAGTATTTTTTTTTTTAAAAATCCAAGTGTGATGGTATGAGCTTATAATCCCAGTGTTGGGGAGGAAGAGACAGTAGAATCCCTGGGGCTCACTGGTCAGCCAGTCTAACCTAATTGGTGAGCTTCAGGTCAATGAGAGACCCTGTCTCAAAGAAGACAGGTGGCATCCCAAAGGTTGGGTCCCAAGGTTGTCCTTTATACATGTTCACATATATGCACATGCACCCTCCCCTTTGGGCCTTTATACATGTTCACATATATGCACATGCACCTCTCCCCACCACACACATACATATATGCACCTCCCTCACACACATGCATTTAAAAAAAGAAAAAGTAGGGGCTGGAGAGATGGCTCAACAGTTAAGAGCACTGACTGTTCTTGCAGAAGACCTGGGTTCATATCCAGCACTAACATGGCAGCAAACAACCATCTATAACTCCATCCAGTTCCAGGGGATCCACTGCCCTCTTCTGTCCTCCTCAGGCACTGCACAACACAGGTGCACTTACATACCTGTAAGGCAATACACTCATACACATAAAATAAAAATAAATTTTATTAAAAAATTAAAAAAGAAAAGAAAGTTGAGCATGGTGGAAAACACCTGTATCCCAGCCCTCAGGAGGCTGAGGCAGGAAGATTGTGAGTTCAGAGCCAGCCTGGGATACATAGCAAGACTCTATCTTAAAATAAACCAAATTGAGTGATAGGTTACACACTTGAGCTTATAGGAAGAGATGACTCCATTTGCCCAAATCCAGATAGTTGAGCAAGCAAGCAGCCAGTTTCTGTTATCCAAATGTTTCATAGTCTAGAAAGTTAGAATTCCTGGGCGATAGAGAGGAAGAGAGAGAGAGAGAGAGAGAGAGAGAGAAATAATTTTGGTTTGAGATAAAATTCACCTGCCATAAAATTCACAGGGTTGTACAGCCATTACCATTATCTAATTCCAGAATGTTCTCATCACCCTCTACCTGTGTAGTCACTTCCCATCCCCAGTCTTCCTCATCTGATTAATAACTCTGACTTTGGCCTGTTTCTCTCTTCCTTCCAGATCTTGGTACCGTTGGAATCATCCCACCTACCTCCACTGAGATAAAAAACTTCCTCCTAATCCACCTGGTCCCATGTTCCCACTGGAAAAAGAAGAGTCATGCCTTCCATGTGTGGATAGACTACTTTGAGAAGAGTGGAAGAAATGCTCACTGTGGAAGAATGAATCCACATTCTTGCCTTCTCCAGGAGGAAGAACCCCTAGAGAATCAAACTGTGACTGAAGCCCATGCTGACACCTCAGGCTCTTGATCTAACCCTTCTAGGACTGCACCAGGCTGGCCTGCCTTGCGTGTGGCTGCCTCCTTGCTCTAAATGTTTTAAATGGCTTCACTGTGACTTTGTCTCTTGGAGAAAGAGCATTCTGTTATTCTTCAACTTATCTGTGGGCTTCTGGGATCAGCCATTTGCTTGGTGTGCCAAAATACAAGAAGAGATAATGGTTTGGACTCTGACCTCAGCCACAGTCCTGAACCCATCCCAAATTCTGTCACAAGACTGGAATCAGTTGTCTCCACTAAAGCCTTCTATGATCAGCAAAGTCTTTTTTCCTGCTGAATCCGTATTTTTGCCTCACTTTTTTTTTTTTTTTTTTTTGACACGGTTTCCCTGTAGCCCCAGTTGGCCTAGAACTCACTATGTAGACCAGGCTATCCTTGAACTCAAAGAGATCTTCCTGCCTCTGTCTCCCAAGTGCTGGGATTAAAGGCATGTGCCACCATGCCTGGCACCCCACTTTCTTTTAATCCTTGCTCCCTTTCCTACAACCAAATCTATTCATTCTATTCATTCTTGTATCCTTCAAGCTCCTTTCTCTCTACAGATGGCTAAGCTACCATCTGGGTATGTTGCTCCATCCATTGGTGCTCTTCTGCTGGTCCACAGCTACCCTAACGTTCAAGAATACTTCTCTCCCTCTGCCTATGTTTCTCCTCATCCTATCCCCTCTCCTCCTCCTGGCTGCAGAAAAGGGAAGAAACACAAGAAAAACCCATACCCACGTTGCTGGCCACATACCTGTACATAGTCCTTCCTGTTTTGCATTATGATCTTTCTTGTTTAATGTGTAATTTTCCAAAAGAATGTTTAACACAGGTGTGAAGTTTGAAGATGTCTCTGTAATATTTTATCTTCTTTAAAAAGGAGGGAGATGGTAGCAAAGTGTGGAATATTTCCACAGAGTTCCCACATGAGCTAGGATTCTGGTGACTTTGGGGGAACATTGTCTGTGGCATCCCCTCCTGAGGGCCCTGTGTAGAGCTATAATATGAAGCTATCTCAGAAATGGCAACTTTTTTTTTAAAGACTGAATATCCAGGAAACAGTTGAGACACAAAGGAATCGCTGTTTCTAAATATATTTGTATAGTATGACATAAACTATTCCATTGTTAAGAAGAAGAGGTTCAGATTAGTGTTTTGTGCCTTTTTGTAGTGGGGGTGGGGTGGGGATGGAACGTGAATGCATATAATGAAATGGGGTGGGAAAAATAATTCCATTTGGAACACGAAGTGAATGATGAAGATGATATACATGAATACAGGGCCCCAGATAGTTCTGAGTTCTTGCTTTGGGGGACAGAACTACTATGGGAACTGAGTAGGCAAGAGATTTTTCCTCATTTTGTAAGACGGAGAATAGTGAATATTTGAGGTCAAGTCACTTGGCCAGAGGCTACTATATCTCAGATATCCTGAATATCAACTACTCGTTATTCACAACGGAAAACAAAAGCTATTTAACAAAGGATAATTTCATATATATATATATATGAGATATCTCACAAGATCGAGGGGCTATTATTGATATTTTTTTAGATTAATTTTAATTGGTGGTGTTTTTGGCTTTTTGAGGCAGGGTCTCACTCTATAGCCCAAGCTAGACTCAAGCTCTCTATGTAGTCAGATTGGCCTTAAACTCATGGCAATCCTCTTGCTTCAGCCCCTTAAGTGTTAGAATTATAGACCTAGGAGCCACCACACCCAGCTTAATAAAAAAGTTAAATAGCTGCTATTCTTTAAAATAAATATTGGCCTGTGGGGAAGAAAGGCCTTTCAATGTAATTGTTGGTGGGGAGAAACTAAGATTTAGATTTGTGTTAGTTACTTTTACATAACTGTGACCAAGATACCTGTTAGAGCAACTTAAGACAGGAAAGATTTATTTTAGCTCATGGTTTTAGAGGTGTCAATCTATCATAGTGGGAAGGATATGGCAGAGTCGAGTAGCTCATATCACAGCAGACAGGAAGCAGAGCAAAAGATGTGCAGAAAGGATCCTAGCTAGAGATAGCCCTAAAGATCTATTTCTTCTAAGGAAGCCTGACCTTCCCCTTTTCTCCATCCCTCACTATTGCAGCATTATGAATCTGTCAGGAGATGAATCCATTCATCAGGTCAGAACCCTAGCTTTAGACACATCAGCATAGACAGGGGAATGCCTTAACAATCTCCTAGATGTTTTCCCACCCACCCAATCAAGTTGCAAATCAAAATTAACCATCACAGATTAAACATTTATTACAGAAAATAACATCCATGTGGGAAACCTATACACGAATCATGAAGGGTCTGCTGCTCCTGGTGTTTGCATGGAGCTTATATTCAGACTTCTATTTTGTGTCATAAAGTGGGGAAAGGCCTGTTGGTAGTAGCTACTTTCTCAAGAAAAACATCTAGTTAAAATAGGTGAACTGAGCACAGTGCTATGTGCCTGTAGTACCAGCTACATGGGAGGCTGAGGTAGGTGAACCACTTGAACCTAGGAATTCAAGGTCAGCCTGAACAGCATGATGACACCCTGTGTCAAAGATAAAGTGCATGCAAGGGGCTAGGAGTATAACAGAGAGTCGAAGGAGTCATCAGCAGTGATTTAAGTGACTACACTGTCACCAACATATCTCTGCCTGTCACTGTACACACATGCATGTTGCTGACAGAGGCCATAGCTGACCCTTTCCTGTCAAGTGCTGCTTGCCTTGATATCTTGCCAAGGGAAGTACTGAAAAACATCTCCTGCACCATCCCAAACTATCCATTTGTCTATATTTTCTATGAAAAGTAAACAGAATAGTAACCTAACCAGTTTCCAGTAGCTCCCACTGCCTATCAACTCAGATATTTGATGAGCAGGGTCAAGCTTGCTGATGGGCATCTTTTTATCTGCAGGATATTGTAAAATCCCTAATCCCAAAGACATTTAATGGAAGTTTGGTGAGCTTCTTCAGCATCTAATTAGAGAGAGGCATCTAAGAGCAACATTCAGCCAGTGTTGGGGGTGGGGGAGAGAGGAAAAAGGAAAAGATTGTAGTTGCTACTCATTTAATACTGTCTTAATATTTGTTTATTTATTTTAGAGTTTTGTTATATATCTCTAGCTGGCCTGGTATCTACTATGTAGCCCAGACTCTGATTTTTTAAAACATTTTATTACCTTTATTTTATGTGTATGAGTGTTTTTCTTGCATGTATGTAAGTACACCACATGCATGCAATGACAGCAGAGGACAGAAGAGGAAATAGGATCCCCTGGAGCTGGAGTCTCAGATGATTGTTAGCCGCCATGTGGTGGGTGCTAGGAACTGAGCCTGGATTTGCTGGAAGAACAGCAAGTACTCTTAACTGCTGAGTCATTTCTCCAGCCCCATGATTTTTTTTTTTTTTTTTTTTAATCCCTTGTAGCCCAGGCTAGGTTCAAACTTACTTTGCAGATCAGAATGACCGTGAGTTGCTGATCTTGCTGCCTTTACCTCTCAAGTGCTGGGATTACAAATCTGTGACACTGTTGGGAGAAGTTTGCCTTGGCAGGGAGAACTAAGCAACATCTTCACCTCACCCCTCAAGGTCCCAATGATAAACCAAAGTTCAATTTCACCGAAGTTCACGCTGAGGAACCAATGTGTTTATTAGGGTTACTTACAGGGCAATGGGTGATGGGTTAAGGTAGGAACGTGGGTGACTTTAAATCAACTGCACCGGAAGGTCTGCACTTAACATGGATGATGACTCCCCTATGGCTGTAGATGGAGCCCCATTCCCTAGTTCATCCCAGCACGAGTACTCTAGCCCCTCCCCAAGGCCAGAGTACAATAAGGGCAGAATGGTACACAACTGGTTGGGAGGAGTGACTGGATACTAGATTGAGGTTCTCATGACCCTCCCCAGCACTCTTTCTATGCGGAAATGTCAACAGTCAACAAGCCCAGCTTGGATGATCTTTTGCAAGCAAGTACAGCTGAACTCATGAAGACGGTGGCAGTTTGGATTGGAAGACAGTCCTGTACAATAGCCATCACACTCAGCTCCCCAAGCAAAGTAAGAACTTGGGGTCCAATTCAGGGGCTGTGCTTATTAATCCCCAAACTTGAGTCAAGATGCCTGCCTCTAGCCGCCCAGGTGCCAAGGCACAGTGCCCTCTGCCACAGACACTGCAAGCTCCTGCCATAGTTCTGGGACTCCTCTGCTCCCCTGGACTGTTTTGCTCTGTTGTTTCCAATGCCCAACATTGCTACATGCACATAATAGGGCATTTAAAGTTTTAAAGTCAGGCATGGAGGCATAGCACTCAGGAGGCTGAGGTAGGAGGATCAAGAGTTCAAAGCCAGCCTTGGTTACAATAGTGAGACCAAGGCTAGCATGTGCTACAGAGTGAGACCTTATCTCAAACACTGATGCTCCCCCCAAAAAAATTTAAAATGTCATTCTTTTTTTTCCTATAAATCAAAATATCATAAACTTTTTCTATGCATGACCCCTTTTCAGCAGAGAAATTCTTAGGAAAGCCCCCAAGTTATATAGGTACATAAAACAGGTATACAATGAAACATTTGCTGATAGAAAATTATAAAGAAATTTATTTTAAGACAATTCTTTGGTATACATATAATTTTATCATTTAGAAAAGATAAAAAGAAAACCTTTGCACTAATAAAATAGATGTGCTTGCTTATTTTTACATAATTATGTAAAATTATGTTAATAATTTAAAATAATTATGTAAGATAATTTACATAAAGCCTTAACTTTTTTTTTTTTTTGAGATGGGAACTCACAGAGATCCACCTGCCTCTGCCTCTGGGATTATAGGTATCCACCACTACACCCAGTAATATTCTGAGTTTATAATCATCAGTGTTAAGAACATCCCTTGTGGTGGTTTGAATGAAAAATGTCCCTCATAGGCTCAATATTTGAACACCTTGTCCCCTGTTGATGCAATGTTTGGGGAGGCCATGGAATTTCTAGAAGGTACAATCTTGCTCAAGGAAGTATATCACGGGGGTGGGCTTCGAGAGTCCACAGTTTCACTTCACTCTCAATTCTCTTTTTTCAATCATTTTATTTTATGTGTATGAATGCATTGCCTGCATTATATAAGCGCACCTGTGTCATGCAATGCCCACAAAAGGTGTCTGATTCCTCCGCATCTGGAGTTACAGATGGTTGTTACCACCATGTGGGTGCTGGGAATTGGTCCTCTGCAAGAGCAGCCAGTGTTCTCAACCACTGAGCCATCTCTCCAGTCCTCAGTTCTCTTGTTTGTGTTTGTGTTTGCCATTGGAGATGTGGGCTCTCATCTTTCAGCTCCAGGCACCATGTGTGCTGTTTGCAGCCATTCCGGTCATTATGATGGACTCCTATCCCTCTAGAACCATAAGCCCAAATCTACTCTTCCTTTCATAAGTTTCCCTGATCTTGATGATTTATCATAGCAACAGAAAAGTACCTAATATACCACTTCACTTAAATTTGTAGTACAAAAAGGGAAAAAAATGTGTGTAGGGCCATTTAGCAAATTGTTGGAAATTCTGTCCCAATCATAAGTCAAACCTTATATGATGAAATTTATGAAACCCAAGTCAGCCACTTCAAACATCAGTTTTTAAAATGAAACATTCCAAGTTAGTGAGGTGGCTTAGCACATTATGGCACTTGCCTCCAAATCAAACTATCTGAGTTTGATCCCACATGGTGGAGAGAAGCAATTTTGGAAAGTTTTCCTATGCCTTTCACACTCACAGTGTGACACATGCATCCCCCCGACCATAAATAAATGTAAAAAATAAATAAAAAATAAATAAATAAAATAAAACATAACAAAATCCAACTCAAATATATACTAATTTGACTTAGGAACAATAGGAAAATATTTAAAATTCTTGCTTTCTGTAATTAAAAAGCATGTTTCTTAAGAGGAGAAAACTTTGTATACACAGTAAAAACACTGCAGTTCATAACATACCATGAATCTGAACTGAGGTGTTTCAAGCAGTGTTGATTGGCATTGTGTGATGGAAGGGCACATACAATGCAAAGGGTCATGTTGTGAACTCAGAATTAAGATTATAGTAAAGTCACAGGCCAGCACTGTCAGAA